TCTTCTTTTGTTTCTTCTCTCCTTTCCATTTTTGTATTATGGGTTTCTCCCCCTTTTCCCACATCTCTCCTTCTCTCTCTCATAATAATAATAATAATAATAATAATAATAATAATAACGATAATAATAATAATAATAATAATAATAATAATAATAATAACGATAATAATAATAATAATAATAATAATAATAATAATAATAACGATAATAATAATAATAATAATAATAATAATAATAATAATAACGATAATAATAATAATAATAATAATAATAATAATAATAATAACGATAATAATAATAATAATAATAATAATAATAATAATAACGATAATAATAATAATAATAATAATAATAATAATAATAATATTTTATAGTAATAATTTTTTCTCTTTCTTAGAACTGATGTTTTATGCTGCACGAGTGAAAGAGATTTCCTAGCTAAGCTACACTGTGTCCGTCAGGCCATGAACCTGCTACTGCAGTCACCAGAGAACAGAGAATACCTCATTGACGCTGGAAGAGATATGGTAGTATCACTACTGATAAAATCAGCATACGTAAGGGAGACTGAAATATTAATATTTATACATGTATGATATTTGTTGGATTGGGTTTTTAGTGTTTTTTGTGTTGTTTAGGATGCTGGTCCATTTCTTGAAGCTTACGATAATATCATTAAGTTTTGTCAAGTACCTGAGAATTTGAATAAGACGAACATCGAACTGTCAGAGAGAGGAGTAAGAGAGAGAAGGGGGAGGGAGAGAGAGAAAGATTACATAGTTATTCTGATGTACATGTATTAAATGGTTGTTTTATCATTCTCAGGTAGTATGCATGAATATATATGATATTGCTTTGGACTTCTTGCTGTTGGATGCTTTTGATGACCTGGCTAGTCCTCCTTCAGCAATGCTGTCAGTGATACAGAATGGATGGATATCAGATGGGATCAAGCAAAGTGTAAATAAATATAAATAAATAAATAAATAAATAAATAAATAAATAAATAAATAATAATAATAATAGTAGCTAATGCTTTATGATCAATATTGTCTTCTTTTACAGATGTTAAATACAGCAGTTTGGTCTATTCTAAAGACTAAGAAGAGTTTATTAAAAGTACATAAAACTCAAACATAATCACTTTAATTTAACCTCCTCCCTCCCTCCCTCTCTCACAGAGTAAGAATGGGTTCATGTACCTATTCTACAGTCTAAGTGAGACCATTTCCCCCGTCTTTGCATGGGGTTTTCTCGGAAGTAACAATCAACTCAACGAGCACTGTCAGCAGTTTAAGGTGAGATAAACACAAGCCACACCCCTAGTGACCCCGCCCATTACTAGGCTACGATAATGAAGCTCCTCATTGCTGTGTTTTCACTGGAGACTGTTAGATACAGTTCAGCTCAGACTCTAGCCGATGACATTATGCATCACACGAGAAGAGCTGTCAATTCTCTTTCTAATATCTAGCATCTTGTGTATTTTATAATTATTGTTTTTTATTCATTATTAAAGACAAAAAAATATTGTTGCCAATGAATATAAATTTTCTGATGCAAAGGTATTGGCTTTTAAAATTTATGAGGAACAAGCAAAATATAAAAATGTCAAACAATATAAACAATACTTCATACAATAAAACTACATTATGTTTTGTGAAGGCAATTAAAGAAATATTCTCAACATTTTCTGTCATTAGTCCATTGATAGAAAATGATGCTGCACAAGATTATGATAATAAAAATCAGTACACTGGTGGGTACATTTACAGTTATCACTAGCCCTTGGACTGTTCCGTTTGAATGATCATTTTCACTTCTTCTGCTCTCTTTACTTTCAAAGTCAGGTCCACTTCCATACTTGCTATGTGCTTTAGGAGATGATAAAAACTTATAGTACATGCATGCAGTAAAGCTTACATGATTTTATGTAAACCACAAAACCTCACCTACTTATGTATTCACATGATTATAGTGCATTTTCATTTTTCAATATACATGTACATGTCAATATACATGTAATTTTTGAGGGCACTTTTCTCCTGATAGTTAATGATGAAATTACGAAAATTATTATTGTGATAAAAACAAACTATGTCAAGCACAAAAACAATACATATGTTAATATAATTGCAGCAGTGTATCAAAGGAATGTTCTCAGCATTCACAGTCAGTCCTACATGCAGTCTCACGGGGCCAGCCCTGGCCCTGCAAGAGTAAGGTATGTATTTGATAAATGAAGCTGCACAAGACCAAAAGTAATATAACAGCAATTACAAGTAGTACATTGAGGGTTATCAGTAATCCATACGCTTTTTTGTTCGAATATTCATTTTGATTCTTCCTGCTGCTCTCCTTGTGTATCGTCATACTTCCAGTGAAAGTACGGTCAAAGTCAGGTTCACTTCCATACTCGCTGTGTGCTTCAGGAGATGACAAAAACTCAAAGATGGCGTGATGAACTGCTCCAAGCTCATCATAATCTTCACAAACTTGAATAATCTTTCCCCACGTGAAATCTTTACCTCTCTGTCTCCACTTTTTAAAAACAGACCCAAGCTTATCTGCAGCAGAGCTTGAACCATCAATCAATGAATCATCCACTTCTGTTTCTAGTGCTATATCAATCGTCTTCCAGGTACTTGCTGCTTTAGATTTAACGAAAATTCTATGAAGATCAGAAATCTTCGGCTTCTTTTGATAGAGATCTATTAGAGAAAAACCAATATCATTAACTAAAATTAATTTTACAATGTTACCTGCTGCATCATATTCTGGTCCAGGATTAATTTCAACATCTCCAGAAATGATAAGGTGAATGACAGTGGCAAATATCATCAACTGCTTCATATCAGTAGCAGATCCAAGAGAGGATTGACAGATGAACAGCAAAAGAGCAATGATGATCGAGATAACATCATACATTACACTAGCAGCATAATATTTGTGGAGGTTTGCTTGCATTGATTCATTTAACTTGAAGATCGAGTCCTTTACATTTCTAAAAATGGGGCCCTGAATATTGAATAATAAGAACAATCATTTTAATTAGAAGCTATTATATTGCTAAGACTTACGAAGACATGATTAAGAAACCAATTAAAGCAACTTTTAGAAGCAGTAGAAGACAATTGTTTACAAAAATCTGCAACATTCTTGACACTTTGTAGTAACTCAACAGTACAAATACTAACTTCTTGTAGCTAGAATAAGGTAGTATAATTCCAATATTTTAGTGTCAAAACAAACCCGGCCCTAAGTATATTCCCTTACTTACTCTATAGAAGATATCAACAAGTGTGTCTCTATCAAATGAATATGTGCAGTGCTTATGCATTCCTTGACAAGCATTTTCAAACTAACAAGAATAATGATGAAATGTTAAAATATAAGAAAAACTTACCATGCATCTGAGAGTATTAAGTTCTTTTTTTAATGAACGTGTCCAGGAACGTGGTAGTGGAATGAGAACTCTCATCATTTCAGCCATTTTTAACTATTTAAGAGCAGTAATTATGTGTATTATAATAATTGAATGATGAAATATCTTATGTAACATGTTAATACATCTCGCTTCTTAAATACTTTGAACAGATATCACTCTTGGCCTGGCGGGGGCCCATGGGTGATATCAATTTGTGCCAGGTTTGGTTATCAACAAACGAGGAATGACGTCATCATATGACAATACAATGGCATGTGTGCTTCACTTACATTGGATTCAATAGCAGTGGCATAATTTTCAATGCATTTTAGATCTGTTTTATTAATGCTGGAAATACCATCAGCAGGCACCTCCTCACTCTTAGTAACTCCCCAGAAGTCTTCATCTTCCTTCAAATAAGTCCAAGTTTGCAATCGTCGGTATATCTCATTAATAGAATGATCAGGATAGCGCCTGTTACCATAGATAAAATCCGAGATAATATTAATAGAATAATCAGATCTAATCTCAAACACAGCGGATACGATAGCCATAGTCTTGGCTATGCAAGGGGGTGTCACTTGCATATAGACTGTAGTTACACTTGCGACCGCGATCAAAAGCTTTGATCTGCATAAAAAGACCTTTGATACCTTGATCTACAGGCTTGATTTCCCTTGATGCTTGATTTTGATGAGCTCACGTGCATGCACAGCTAATTAAAAATTCATAGATCTGCATAATCAAAGATATAGATCTACGGAAAATATACATATCTTGATGCCTGCTACAGACTGTCTTGATCCCTTGATTGCAATCTGATTGTCCCTTTGATGTCTTGATTTTGATTTGATCACGGTCGCAAGTGTAACTACAGGCTTGATGAAAGTAACACCCCCTTGCTATGGAGCGCCAAAGTGGACAAAAACATAGGTCAACTGCCTCAGTCTGCCTGCCAGTGCCAGGTCAGGCAGGTCCATGATTAAACTCGGGCGTAGGAAACTAGGAATAGGGGGGGGGGCAGACTGGCAAAAGGGGCAACTGCCCCCCACTTTTATTGACGTGGGGGCTCTGCCCTCTCCCAACTTTTACTAAACTGGTTTTTTTGAAAATTACACCCTTTCAACTTACATGTATACCAAATTCCCAATAAGCACCTCATAATGATAATGCACCAAGTCATTCAAATCAATTTTGATTTCCCTTAAATGCATGGTTAGCTAC